AATCTATACGATGTTTAATAGGGAGCCAGTGCAGTGTTGACAGAACCGGGCTAATATGGTCATACTTCCTGGCTCTAGTAAGAACTCTAGCTGCTGCATTTTGGACCAGCTGGAGTTTGTTTATTAAGCGTGCAGAACAACCACCCAATAAAGCATTACAGTAATCTAACCTTGAGGTCATAAACGCATGAATTAACATTTCTGCATTTGACCGAGAGAATAGGTCATAATTTAGATATATTTCTGAGATGGAAAAATGCAGTTTTACAAATGCTAGAAACGTGGCTTTCTAAGGAAAGATTGCTATCAAATAGCACACCTAGGTTCCTAACTGATGACGAAGAACTGACAGAGCAGCCATCAAGTCTTAGAGAGTGTTCTCGGTTATTATATGCAGAGTTTGTTAACAACATGCTAATAATGTTAGAAAACATGCTAGCTACATGCTAGGAAGATGCTAACAATATGCTATTAATTTTAAAACGTTAACAACATGCTAATCATGCTAGAAAGATGCTAGCAACATGCTAATAATGCTAACAATATGTTAACGTGTTAATTAGCAACATGCTAATCATGTTAGAAAGATGCTAGCAACATGCTAATCTTGTTAAAAACATGCACTGCGTCCCAATTCACCTACTTATACTATGCCCTAAAAGTGTACTCTTTTTGTGAAGAAAAAGTACATACTTTTGAGTATGTAGCAGAATGGTAGGCAAGCTTTGGGACTTACTACTTCATCATAATTGCGTCTTTAACGGACCGCTCTTTCGTTTAGTTATGTGCATCCTGTCGGTTTAAACTGGCCTGTCAATCATCTTGTCACAGTTAACATCATCCACATACCGTTTAATTTAATTTCCTACCGTATTGGAGAGAAATGAAGAAGCACGTTGCGGGTCTTTCGTGTTTGCACAATGTTGACCAATCGTATCTTTATAAAAATTCACAATGTTGTTGCAGATTAAATATAATGCAGAAAACATTAAATATATAATACTATTTAGGATGGATAGTGTGCGAATTGGGATGCAATGCATGTTTGAAACATGTTAGCAAAATGCTAATCATGCTGGAAAAATGCAAGCAACAGGCTAATCATGCCAAAAACATGCTAGCAACATGTTAAATCATGCTTGCAATGTGCTAGTAACATCTTATCTATCTAAACCTTTAAACGGCAAGCTTTTACAGCTGCTTTCAGGCTAGGCTTTCTCAAGCCAACTTCAAAGCTTGTTCACAAAGTTTACTCATCTAGTTTTGTTTTCATTATTAGTTTTAGTAATTTTAGTACTTCAGCTTGACTTACTTTATTTATTATTAGCTGCCAAAACAAGTTTTTTTATTATAATTTTTTCACTTAATATTTGTTTTATTTAATTTCAGCTTTATTTAAATTACCAAAGATTTTTAATATAGTTTTAGTTAACAATAACTAGTTCTAAATGATCAGATAAGACCGTCAACCCAAGATTACTTGATAAACTCTTTTCCTAGTTTAAATTTCATGTTTGTTTCCACAGCTGTGCCTTTTCAAATGCATTCTTGATTATGAAATTTGAATAAGTAAATGCAAAACAAAACTGCAAAATAATGATTTTAATAACTAAATATATCGAAATTAAATGCGATATCTTAAAATAATGCGATATCTTAGATAAACCCTAGAGACAATATTTCACAACCGCCAGAAGCTCTTTTCACTGTTTAATGAGCTGTTTTGTAGTCTGATACAGTTTAGTCAATAAATAGAGAAAGATTTTTCAATGCAAAACCAATACAAAAAAAATTAAATCATCTGTAATATTTACAAAACAGTGGAGTCTAGTGCAATACAGCATGTGAAATTTATTAGGAGGACAGACTGTAAAGTGCATGAGAACAATCTGAGCTTCCAACATCCTTCACTGGAACCTTAAACTGATCCAGCTGTCAAAGTAGTTAACGGTCAGGACCAAATCTGACGCACTTCGACATTCTATAAAGCAGGTGAGACAGTGTCAAACGCAAATCGCAGTGTGTGTTTCAGTGCAGTGTGAACAGGCTTCATCTGTCATAATGTTACCAGTGTAGTGCTATTGCAGCGATGCAGGAATCGCAGGATTTTGCGTGTGATTCTGTCCGCGAGGAGATAGGATGGACAGATAGACGGCAGGTTCAGCGGTGCCTCCTCTGATGTCTCGTCGCTCCAGAGCTGGAGCCGCTGCAATGGACCCTCGGCCCTCCGCAGCGCCGCTCGCTTGCCAAACTTCTTCCTGCGCAGACGGCGGTTCACTAACTTCTGCAGACGCCCAATGGGAGTCCCGTACTGAATCTGCAGACCGGACAGAACCGGCTCGAATAAATCCACCAGTTCTGAAGAAAAACACCAGCGGAGGATCAATTTAGAGATGCAACATTCTCACACAAGTAAACTATTTACATTACATTTACATTAGATGATTTAGCAGACATAAGCGACTTAAAAACAACGACAGAGCAGCAGTATAGTATAAGTGCTGTGACCAACCCCAGTTAGTACATAGCAAAACTACACTATAAAAATCTTTTTTTTAAAGATTAAACAAAGATTACTGGAGTACATTTTACAAGAATAAAAGACAAACAAAAAAAGCTGTTAAATACTGCAGTTTAAATCTCGCAATTCTGTTTATATATCGCAATTCCGCGTTTATATTGCAATTCTGCATTTACGTCCCGCAGTTCTAAGTTTACTTCTTGCAATTCTAAGTTTATATCTCACAATTCTGTGTTTAAATCTCTTAATTTCTTACTTTACATATCACTATTCTAAGTTTATATCTCACAATATTCTTTATATCTTGTAACTCTAAGTTTACATCTCTCAATTCTAAGTTCATTTCTTGCAATTCTAGGTTCATATCTCGCTATTCTTAGTTTACCTCTCACATTTTTCAAAATTGTGAGATTTAAACTCAAAAAGGCAGTTGCTATGGTGATTAGGGTGGTTGTCTGTGTAGTTGCTATGGTGACCTGAGTGGTTGTCTGTGCAGTTGCTATGCTGATCTGAGTAGTTGTCTGTGCAGTTACTATGGTGATCAGGGTGGTTGTCTGTGCAGTTACTATGGTGATCAGGGTGGTTGTCTGTGCAGTTACTATGGTGATCAGGGTGGTTGTGTGGCTACTTTGGAGTTACTATGGTGATCAGGGTGGTTGTCTGTGCAGTTACTGTGGTGATCAGGGTGGATGTCTGTGCAGTTACTGTGGTGATCAGGGTGGATGTCTGTACCATTGCTATGGTGATCAGGGTGGATGTCTGTGCAGTTGCTATGATGATCAGGTTGGTTGTCTGTGCAATTGCTATGGTGATCAGGGTGGATGTCTGTGCAGTTACTATGGTGATCAGGGTGGTTGTCTGTGCAGTTACTGTGGTGATCAGGGTGGTTGTCTGTACCATTGCTATGGTGAATAGGGTGGATGTCTGTGCAGTTACTGTGGTGATCAGGATGGATGTCTGTACCATTGCTATGGTGATTAGGGTGGATGTCTGTGCAGTTACTATGGTGATCAGGGTGGTTGTCTGTGCAGTTGCTATGGTGAATAGGGTGGATGTCTGTGCAGTTACTGTGGTGATCAGGGTGGATGTCTGTACCATTGCTATGGTGATTAGGGTGGATGTCTGTGCAGTTACTATGGTGATCAGGGTGGTTGTCTGTACCATTGCTATGGTGAATAGGGTGGATGTCTGTGCAGTTACTGTGGTGATCAGGGTGGATGTCTGTGCAGTTACTGTGGTGATCAGGGTGGATGTCTGTGCAGTTACTGTGGTGATCAGGGTGGATGTCTGTGCAGTTACTGTGGTGATCAGGGTGGATGTCTGTGCAGTTACTGTGGTGATCAGGGTGGATGTCTGTGCAGTTACTGTGGTGATCAGGGTGGATGTCTGTGCAGTTACTGTGGTGATCAGGGTGGATGTCTGTGCAGTTACTGTGGTGATCAGGGTGGATGTCTGTGCAGTTACTGTGGTGATCAGGGTGGATGTCTGTGCAGTTACTGTGGTGATCAGGGTGGATGTCTGTGCAGTTACTGTGGTGATCAGGGTGGATGTCTGTGCAGTTACTGTGGTGATCAGGGTGGATGTCTGTGCAGTTACTGTGGTGATCAGGGTGGATGTCTGTACCATTGCTATGGTGATCAGGGTGGATGTCTGTACCATTGCTATGGTGATTAGGGTGGATGTCTGTGCAGTTACTATGGTGATCAGGGTGGTTGTCTGTGCAGTTACTATGGTGATCAGGGTGGTTGTCTGTGCAGTTACTATGGTGATCAGGGTGGTTGTCTGTGCAGTTACTATGGTGATCAGGGTGGTTGTCTGTGCAGTTACTATGGTGATCAGGGTGGTTGTCTGTGCAGTTACTATGGTGATCAGGGTGGTTGTCTGTGCAGTTACTATGGTGATCAGGGTGGTTGTCTGTGCAGTTACTATGGTGATCAGGGTGGTTGTCTGTGCAGTTACTATGGTGATCAGGGTGGTTGTCTGTGCAGTTACTATGGTGATCAGGGTGGTTGTCTGTGCAGTTACTATGGTGATCAGGGTGGTTGTCTGTGCAGTTACTATGGTGATCAGGGTGGTTGTCTGTGCAGTTACTATGGTGATTAGGGTGGATGTCTGTGCAGTTACTGTGGTGATCAGGGTGGATGTCTGTACCATTGCTATGGTGATCAGGGTGGATGTCTGTGCAGTTGCTATGATGATCAGGTTGGTTGTCTGTGCAGTTGCTATGGTGATTAGGGTGAATGTCTGTGCAGTTACTGTGGTGATCAGGGTGGATGTCTGTGCAGTTACTATGGTGATCAGGGTGGTTGTCTGTGCAGTTACTATGGTGCTATGGTGATCAGGGTGGATGTGTGTGCAGTTACTATGGTGATTAGGGTGGAAGTCTGTGCAGTTACTATGGTGATCAGGGTGGTTGTCTGTGCCGTTGCTATGGTGATTAGGGTGGATGTCTGTGCAGTTACTATGGTTCTCAGGGTGGTTGTCTGTGCCATTGCTATGGTGATCTGGGTGGTTGTCTGTGATCTGAGTGGTTGTCTGTGCAGTTGCTATGTAATTGTGAACATGTGTGTTCCTGTACCTTTTTGTGTGACCTGGTCACAGGTTGCACACACATTATCATGCCACCTGGATCCGGGAAGCACCAGCTGTTCATCAGTCTTGCATGCGCTGTGAGTAACGCATGCTGCATGTGTCTTTCTGATATCTGTGAAGTGTCCGTCTGCACAAAGCTTACACACCGTGTCTCTGTGTGGCGTCCCTGCAGACACATAATCAAACAACACAACAGTCACCATGATCCACCTTCACGTGAATCACTGTTTGAATAAAGCCAGTGCAGACACTGTGTCACTGCGGTCCGACCACAGCCAACAAAACACCAGTTGTGTGACAAAACCCACTAAGATTTTAATGATAATGAACAGTGAGTCCTTCAGATGAAGTTAACAGTTGCCAAGCAACGTGATGCAGATCTAACAGGTGTGAATATCAGCTGTTGTGCTGTTGCCCAGCAACCATAAACAAACTACAGTTACACTTGGGGAAAAATAGTTAAACTACATATTAATTAATATTATGGATTGTTTTGAATATTTATTAATAGTTAATAATACTTTATTAATACTACTGCTGCTGTTTTGCAAAAAAAAGAGAAAAAAGAAAAGGTTTTATAAAGATTACATTGTGAGTTATGAAATGTAATATAACTTTAAATGTATTAAGATCTATCTATCTATCTATCCATCCATCCATCCATCCATCATCTATAACAATTCATAGTAAATCATTAAATGTATGATATTAAGACAAAACTGTATGTTATTGATGTTATATAAAATAAATAATCAAATGTGTGATACCATAAGATTATTAAATTAAGATAAATTATTCTATTTACATAGAATTATGTATATAATTGAATGTGTGATATTAAGATCAAATTGTGAGTTATGAATTTTTTTTATATAATTACATTTAAAAGTAATAAATGTAAAAATATAAATACATTTTTTACAGTTACACACACACACACACACTCTCACACACACACACACACACACACACACACACACACCTGAAGCTTTGACTCCGTGACCCGGTTTGCACTCGCTGTGTCTCCTGCAGAAGTGCTCGTCCCAGAAGAATCCGGCCTCACATTCGCAGACTGTGTTCACGGTTCCGTTACACGGCCGAACGACCCGCTGATGATCGGAGCACGCGCCGCACCGCAGGCAGTTCGGGATGTAGTTCCAGAACTTTGTGAACAGACCCGGACCGCACGCCACGCAGTCCGTCTCGCGGGAGCTTGTGCAGTGCGCGCCCAGGCGAGTTCCCGGAGGACAGCTTTTACACTGCAGCTGCTGTCCGGTGACCGGATCCGTGCGCCGGTAAGTGGGATCATCCGCCGCCAGTCCGGCTCCAGACAGAACCGGCAAAAGCACTACAGTGAAGAGAAACTAGAGAAACCGAGAGAAACGTGTTATATAGAAAGAAATGAATATAGATAATTAAACGTGAGATATAAGATATAAAGTCTGAATAATGACTCACCATCGCGCGCTGCTGTCGGGCTTCATTGATGCGCGCGGTGTGCACGCTTATATCCTCACATCAGACACGCCCACCCACGAATCCAGCTCATCTCTAAATAATGCGATATTAAAACTAGAGCAGAACCCTGAGTCATTTCACCTGCTGCACCAGAAAACAGAGCAGAGAGACCCTTTTCACGCCTGAGAACACCATCTACATCACCAGCATTCAGTAATAATAATAAAAGCAGAACACAAGTTAAGTTTTCATAACCACAACTAATCTCAATTTTGAAGGTTACATCTCATGATGTGATATTGATAATATGGTAAGAATTTTTCTTGCGTAACAGAATGCTTTTTCACAAACATTACCTCATCACCAGATCTCATTACAAATTACAAAATTTCACAATATAGAAAAACCACGGTTCTGTTAGTGGAGTTTAGATTTTTCATGTGATATGACTCTTGATGCACAAAAGATGTTTTAGTTTCACTTGATTCAATATTGAGATCTTGTATCACCGATTAAGTACAAATTCCCTGCTAAAAACACACCTGAAACCGGCTTGTGCTGGTTGGCTGGTCTTAGCTGGTTTTATCTGGTCTCGCAGCCTGATCAGCTAAAGAAACCCGCTCTAAAACCACCAGCTCTGAGCAGGCTGGAAGACCTGCTAAAAACAGTCAAGCAGCCCAGTCTGGTTTCAGTTGATTTCTTTTTTTCAGCACATGATTTGGGTCAGAATCAATATTATAGCCCAGAGGTTCTTATAATATGAACTAGCCTAAGCTGGTTTAGCTGGTCTTCCAGCCTGGTCAAAGCTGGTATAGCAAGCTGGTTTCCACTTATTTAGCTGGCCAGAGACCACGGTAAACTTAGTTATAAATGGTCACGCCACTCTTGCAATAAAAATAAAGTATTATAAATATAAATAATGTCATGTGTGTTTGACTTATAGGACAGAGAATATTGTAGATGAAGTGATCCCTGATCATTCATTTTTGACAGTATGTCAAATCACCTTTATTTATATAGCGCTTTATACAATACAGATTGTGTCAATTTTTCAGTTAAACTCAGTTCATTGATGATTCAGTGATATTTCCAGAAATGAAGTGTCCCCAACTAAGCAAGCGGCAAGGAACCAAAACTCCATCGGTGACAGAATGGAGAAAAAACCTTGGGAGAAACCAGGCTCAGTCGGGGGCCAGTTCTCCTCTGACCAGACAAAACCAGCATGGCGTGGGTTAATTCCAGACTGCAGCACAGGTCAGATTAGACAGTCTAGATTTGTAAATGATCTGAAAGTAACACAGTCTATACTAGTAACTCTAGCAGCACTACTGGTTAAGTGTTCTAGCGCCTCCTGCAGGCCGATGACAGATACAGAGATGTTAAAGCCATAGTTCATCCAAAAAATTATGTCAATTACCTTCTGGAGTGGAACACAAAAGTCGCAATAACTTGCATTGTATCTTTTGTCCATACAGTGGAAGTCAAAGGGAACCTGAAACAGTTTGCTTACCAACATTCTCCAAAATCTCCACATAGAAGAGAAAATCATACGTTTGGATGCCACAGAATAAAAATAAACAAACAAATAAATCAATCAATAAAAAAGATAATCACAATTTTTTTTCTGAAGTCTGAATTGAGAGATATAAACTCAAAATTCAGAGGAAAAATCAGAATTTTGAGATATAAACTCACAATTACACAAAACATTCAGAAATGCGAGACATAAACTCAAAATTCAGAGGAAAAAGTCAGAATTGCGAGAAACACTCAACAGACCTATCATTCTACTGATCGTTGCACAGTCACTTACACTCTGCAGAATGTCTAAAGTGGATCAAAATAAAGTGTAAGCAGATAAAATGTCAAAACTCTGAGTTTATATTTGGCAATAATGACTTCTTCCTCAGAATTACAAGAAACAAAGGTCAAATTGTGAGACAAATAGTCAGAGTTACCTCTTTTTAATCCATAGTGGAAAAAGGTGTGAGGGCGAGTAAATGATGACATTTTTCTATACCAGGTGAAACTCACCCTTTACTCCAGTTACAGTGAGCATCTGATTCGTCTTGTTTCTAGACTGATCACATGACATGCTCATACTTTCACTGAGGTGTGTAAATATTTCTGTGCATTGCTGTCAGAGGCGCACACGTCAGTCAGCAGCATCTCACACACTGCTATTTGTAGCCTGTTTTATCAGATTCATTGTCATGCATTCTGGATGAACTGAATCACTGAACATTCAAACATGGTGACGGAGCATGAATATGTTTGCTAATAGCAGTTAGATAATCACTACAAAAACGATGAGTCATCAGCGGGACATTTCCCATTTCAGGGGATTCCACAAACTCAAACACACTCGAGCCATTACGCACGAACATCCTCCTGAGCATAGCATGTTACTAAAAATGTGGAGGAAGTGAGATGATATCAGGGAATCCTTTGGGCGGACAGCAGTTTACATCACAGTCAAACACAGGGTAACTAATGAAACTAACCCACTCAGATGAATCAGCCGAATAAAGGCAGAATTACTAACAAACATCAGTAGCAACTGAATTTCTACAATCCTAGCAGCTCTTTTAGTGTGACTGTAGCTGGAGCTTCTCGTGTGTTTCTACTGTCAAATCTTGACTGATTTTGATCAAGTAAGCGTCAGAATAACTGCAGTAATATCTCCAGATGAACACTTACTGGACTGAAGCAGCTCAGCTTTACTTGATTCTCCATCAATCATGTTTTAGAGTCTCAAATCTGATCCACAGGATCATTTGAGGAGAGTTTGTTTCCAGAAGCTTTACTTTCACTGTTCCTCAGCGGAGGAATGATCTTCACAAGCCTCCAGAACATCTCACATCTTCTGAGGAGCCTTTATTTCTTCAGCTCTCAATCACTGCATTATATGTTTGGATCATTTCAATCTCATCTTACTGAGACAGATTACTGCATATATAGAGTGATGACTGATATTTAGATCATTTTATGTCAGTATCTGCTGCACTGTTATAAAGATCTCATTGATTTACATTACAAGCATCAGAATCTCATCATATAACTATCAGCATCTGCAGCAAATTTCATGTTTTTTGCTCAGTTTGAGTCTCTGAATAAAACAGAGCTGTTTTTCCTCCATATTCTCACTGTATCAGACTATATGAGCCATAAAAGCCTGATACATCAAATATTAGATACTAAACATAAAACACGCAAACTTATATACATAAGTTTATAATACAATCCCCTCTTACTAAACCCTTTGTAGACCGATGTGCTGATATTCTGATACTAACATACTGTTTTAATGGGGATAGTATAGTCTTAAATATAAGACAAACATCAACATATTTCATCATGTTATCCCAACTCAGCATGTTTTTTTTTTTTTTACATTTTGAACAATGAATACATTTGAATGAATAATGAATAAATTAACTTTTTTTTTTATCAAGAATTTTTAAAGCTGTTACATGAATCATAGATTTAGTAAGTTCATTTGCCACTTGTGACACACTGCTCCCATGTACATAAATAACAGTGTCGTATGCATACATTTGGATATTAATGTTTGGACAAACAGACGGAAGATCATTGATGTAATAGCAATGGACCCAGAATTGATCCTTGGGGTATACCTGTGAGTATACTTAAGGCTATTGATTTATAATTCTGTTCGACCTGAGAAATATGATTCTATCCAATTCAAAATCTCTGGAAAAAATTGAAACCTAATAATTTAGACATAAAACCTTGAGGTCAAGAAACACTGCTCCAATAACCCCAGTATTATCCAATGAAGACTTAACTTTTTCAGTGAAGCCAAATTGCATTGGATGCATGGCAAACAAACTAATATTCAAATAATCAGTTATTTGCACTGCAATCAATCTCTATGCAACCTTGGACACTGTAGGAAAAGTACGAACAGGCCTATAATTACTAGGAAAGTCAGAATCTCCACTTTTCAATATAGGAACAACAACAGATGACTTCCAAGCAAAGGCTTCAGAATGGAAAGATAACGGGATTTTACTGCGCATTCATGCGTTTATCCGACACTGCATTCATCTGAAGTGTTTCCTGTGGATCAGTCGCGTGTTTCTACAGGAACACAGATCTAAAACGTCTTCAAGAATCACGCTAATATTTGCAATTCCTCTTCAAAGAAGTGCAGTTCATAATCTAATACAAATAATGACCACCTAGAAAACAGGGAGTGTTTCTTGAAAGAGCTTTTGAAAGACAAATAGACTGGAGGAAAAGCTATTCACCGTTTTACTGGAAAATCCAGATGGGTTTCTTTTTGACAGCACTGGATTCACTGGAATAATGAGACTCGGTGGAAGGGCTGTTTGTGTATGTCAGTTTCTCCATCACGTCTCAAACAGATCTCATTTCTAGGCACCTCATCCATTAACTAACCACAAAACCAAACTGCTTTTATAAAATAACTGTTTTGTTGAGTGAGTCACAGATGTGAAACCCACACACGCTTAATGAACTGTTTCATAGAAACAGAGATCACCACATATTCCCTCATGTAATAAATCACAGCAATAACAGATGATAATCTCAAACAAATGTATAGACAAACAGTTTTACGGATTCCTTGATCATCAGGCCTTCATATGCAGCTGAGACTTACTGGAATATAGATGCAGCACAAAATGTACAAAGTATTCAGACTGCAGGATGATTAAAGTGAAAAAGGGTGGAAATGTAGCAGAAATAGTGTCAACAACTAACACACACATCTCTTATAATTCTGACAATTCTGGTGCAATTTCACTGCAAAACATTATCCTCTTCCTCAGTATTTGTGTCTTGTTTTCCAGTACAAGTATCTACACATTTTTAAATCGAGATATATTTACTTGAAAAACAAAACAACTAAAAGATGTTTTACAGTTTTTCTCGATTGCTTAAACACATTTCTTGAAACTATGCCTCATATTCTCAAAACAGTAAACACAAATCCATAACGTCTCACCCAATTCCCCAAACATCCTATTTTCAGGTCAAAATGAAGCTCTACACTCAAAACCATTCACTCTTGCTGAAAAACCAAACTTTTCCCTCAGACATCACACACACAAGCTTTCAAAAACACACACGCTACAACATAGTATTACACACTGGTGCAATAAATTCAAAACAATATTTCCAAAACTGGCAAGTTATGTTGCTTGTGGTTCAACCCCTCCAAAACCTTTTCACATGGACACAAAAGACACAACCCATGTATACATTGTCACATTTTTATTCATTAATGTACTACACAGCACAACTGTAAAAAAAAAAATGATAATAATAATTCCGCCTCAGCATCCCGTCTTTGTTCTGGGTCAGGCCAGAGAATCTCGTCCACATCACAGGCTGTATTGGCCCTAGCCAGGCAGCGAGGGTAAAATCCTCTTGCATGCCTGATCCACCCCTGGCATGCATCTACTGATATGTCTAGGCAGGCTTCTTCCATGGCCTGGAGGAGGGGAGCACGGATATAAGGTTCTTGGTCATATGCTTTCCACCGCCATGCCGAAAAAAACTCCTCTATCGGGTTTAGAAAGGGAGAGTATGCAGGCAGAAAGATGTTAGAAAACCTCGGGTTATTGGTAAACCAGTCACGAACCAGAGCAGCGCGATGGAAGCTGACATTATCCCAAACAACAATGTAACGAGGCTGCTCTGGCTGTGCTGGTTCCCTGAGGTCCAGCTGGAACATATGCTCTCTTAGACCGTCAAGGAAAGCAAGGAGGAGCATAGTGTTATAGGGTCCTAGAATGGCATGACGGTGGAGTACCCCTCGTTGGCTGATGGCTGCACACATAGTGACATTCCCCCCGCGCTGACCAGAGACATTTACAATAGCCCGATGGCCAATTATGTTCCTCCCCCTTCTCGTTCTTTTGGTCAGGTTGAAACCAGCCTCATCCACAAAGATAATTTCATGGGGAACAGGCCGGCCTTCAATCTCAAAGATTCTCTGCAAAAATCATGAAACACAGTAGAGTAAATCACTGCCCTGAAGCACAGTTCAGACGGGCACAAATAGCAGCATAAACTGCTATACTGTGATGGTACACAATACTTCATACGATATCAAAACTCATACCTGAACATATTCCACTCGTTGGTCTTTCACTCTGTCAGAGTTTCGTTCGAAAGGGACTCGGTACGCCTGTTTCATCCGGAACTGGTGCTTTCGGAGGATACGATCAATTGTGGAGAGGCTGATGGCATTTATCCCTCGAAAATGATGATTATCCTCAATCACTCTCCTTTGAATCTCTCGCAGGCGGACATTATTGGCAATGACCATGTTTAAAAGCTCCCTCTCTTGC